TCCGCACCAAATCACCCAGTCAAAGCCAAGAAAGAAGAAAAGACAAAAAACAGAGGGCCAATTCTGCCAAAGAACTTCCATTGGCATGCATCGGATGCAGTCCATAGTCCAATGTTGCTGCAGATGCCAGAGATGCTGTAATGGGGGATTTACATGAGGCACGTATGCTTCTATTCGATGCCATTGTTGTTGTTAATACGGTGCGTGTGTGTTTTACTAAGGCAAAGAACAACAATGATAATGGCTGTGATGTTGACGTTGAAGTCAGCCATGCAACCAAGTCATCAAACCTAACCAGCCAACAACACAAGGTGCATGCATTATACCGCTGCTGATGGTGGTGTTGTTTGTCTGCAGTAGGAAATCGTTTAGATGTTTAAATTGCGGTAAAATGATTCTACAAAAATATGGTCTCTTTTTCTTTAAATGCTTTTTCTTCGTCACAATTGCATCCCGATCCATATCAGCATCATCTCTTCATCTAAACCAAAGAAGACGACGTCGCGATGAGCCTAGAATTTTTAATGTTTTTGAGGATTTTAGCCTCTGTGTTTGCCGAACAAATAGACAGAGCAACAACAACAGCCACAATAGTGCGTGAATATGATTGATGAGGGATGTATGCCCTAAGTTTTACTTAAATTTTCTTTGCGGTGTTTTTTGTTTTTATTTTTTTCACAATTAAATAACAAAAGAGGCCGAGATGCTAACTTCGAAAAGACATGCGATCGTAAAACAAAAACAACAACAAAATTCTAAGGAGGCGGTGTAACGATTATTTGCCGACCATAATTAATTATCTTCAGGCCAAATAACATCATGGATAAAATAATAAAAAGTAAACAAAAACTTCATTCTTTCCATTTTTTTTTTTCGTTCTAATTGTCATTAATAAAAACTTCGATTTTCTTTTTGTTATCGATAAAATGTCTAAAGAAATTAAGGTTTTCGACATTATTTTCTATTCAAAAAAATGTTCTCGATAATATTTTCTATAGCCATAATTTTTATTGAAATTATTGTTATCTAACACATTTTTTATAGAAAATATGGTTATCGATAACATATTTTAGAATATAGTGTTATCGAAAACCCTATATTTTAAAAAATCATTGAAAATTGCATTTATCGACAAAATATATTATACTGATATTATAGTTATCGATATTGAAATTATTGTTATTTATTACTCGATTAACGTAACAGGTTTTCGACAATGTTATCGATAATATTTTCTATACCCATGGTTGTTATCGACAATGCTTTATTCGAAAATTATTGCCAATGGATACAGTTTTTATAGAACAATATGATTATCGATAACACTTTTTTGAATACATTTATCAACAAAACTTTTTATACTGGAATTATTGTCATCGATAGAATTCTCTATAGAATTAAGTGTTATCGGTAACATTTCCACTAGAAAATATTGTTATCGAATATATTTTCTACAGAATCGATAACATTTTCTGTAGAAATTATTTTTATCGATAATATTTTCTATAGAAATTATTGTTTTCAATACCATTTTCAATAAGAAAATATTGTTTCGACCCTATTTTCAATAAGAAAATATTGTTATCGACCCTATTTTCTATAAGAAAATATTTTTATCGACCACATTTTCTACAAGAAAATATTGTTATCGACCTCATTCTCTATAAGAAAATATTTCTATCGACCATATTTTTTATAAGAAAATATTGTTATCGGTAGAATTATTTACAGATGATAATGTTATATACGCCATTTGCTAAAGAAAGTACTGTTATCGATTACATTGTCTATTAAAAATATTGTTATCGATACAAAATTTTTATAGAAAACGTTTTTGTCGACCATTTGTATAGAAAAAAATTGTTATCGATTACATTTTCTATAGAAAATATTGTTATTGATAAAATTTTTTTATAGAAATGTTATCGGTTATAATTTCTATACAAAACATTGTTATCGATTATTATTTCTATAGAAAATATTATTATCAATGGTATATTTCCTATTAAAGTTATTTATCGACTAAATATTTCTTGGAATTAGTTATTAGGTTTATAGGTTTTTTTATCGATAAAGTGATCAATGTAAACAATTGTTATTGATAATATTTTTTATAGATCTAGTTTTTATCGATAACATTTTTTATCGATAACATGATATGGACATTAATTACTATATAATATCTATAGAAATTCTTATCGACATTAATTTACTTATATATTGCTCACGAGAAAAATGTTTCATAGAAATTCTAGTTATCGCCATAATTTTCTTTTTATCGATAACAAAACTTTTGCTTTCTTTGTATAAGAAATTATGTGTAGATGCCTAACAAAACTAATCAAAAGAAGTATCATAAAAAGAAAAACACAAAACTTGATGTTATCTTTCATCTAAATTATTGTGAGGATGACGTTGATAATGACGATGAAGATGCCATGAGGGCTTTGATGCTGCGACAAACAACTCTGATTAGAGATGATCATCATCATTATTATCGAAATGAAATAATTATCCCCACATGTAGAAGATATGATGAATGTAATAACAAAGATATTTGTATATGCATAAGAAACAAAAGTTCCGCATACATAATTTCACTTTAAAGAAACGTGTAAAAAAATGTGTTTTATGATTCTGCTGCCGCTCGCTGCTGCATCCAAATGATGAGTAAATGACTGTCTGGCTGACTTTGCTTTTGATTTACCAACCTATTTTTTGTAATGTATTGCAGAAGGCATTGCGGTCCAATGCTGTTGATGATGAAAGAAATCATGCTGGGCCGGTCTGTTCTGTTCTGGCCAAAAAGATAAGATTCTCTTTTTTCTTTGTTGTTTTATTTTTCTTTCTACTTCGTTTTTTTTTGTTTTGTGTGAAAAATTGTTCTGCCGATAAGTTATAAAAAAGAACCATAGTTTGCTTTTATGTGGCTGTTAGAAAAAAATACATGAGGGAAGAAGAAGAGCAGCAAATATTATTCAAAAGGTTTTGTTCTCTAGAAGTTAATATCGTATGCCCAAAAGGGGAGTACGAGAGAGTATCATTAGATAATTCCATATTAATTAGGTGATAAATGATGCCAAGAGGAAGTTTTGTTAGGGCCAAGTAAATACCCTGTGGGATAGTTTATTGTGGATACGCCATTGGGTAGGGAAATTATGTGAGGAGTTGAAGAATTTTGAATAGATAAACTTACGACAATCTTAATATGGAAATCGACTATAATTTCTGTAGAAATTATTTTTATCGATAACATTTTCGACACTATATTCTGTAGAAAATATTGTTATCGATAACATTTTATATAGAAACGTTGTTACCGATAACCTCTTCCAAAGAAAATCATGCTATCGACACAATTTTCTCCGAAATAATTGTTACCGACAGCATTTCCTATTAAAAATATAGTTATCGATAGCATGTTCTATGGAAAATATTGTTATCGATTACATTTCATATAAAAAATATTTTTATCGATATAATTTTCTATAAAAATATTTTTTCATAACATTTTTGCTATCGATATCTTTTTTCAATAGAAAATATTTGTATCGAAAACATTTTGTACACAAAATATTGTTATCGCATACAGTTTCTACAGAAAATACTGTTGCTATCGGCATTTTCTATAAAATATCATTATCGATCATATTTTTTATAAAAATGTTGCTATGGGTAATATTTTCTATGCAGAATATTGTTATCGATTACATTTTATATAGAAAATATCGTTATCGGTAATATTTTCTATAGGAAATATAGTTATCGGTAAAATTTTCTGTAGAAAATATTGTTATCAGTAATATATTGTATAGAAAATATAGTTATCGGCAATAATTTCTATCGAAAATATTTTTATCGGCAATATTTGTTATAGAAAATATCGTTATCTGTAATAATTTCTATATGAAATATTGTTATCGATAACATTATTATTGATAATACATTTTATATAGAAAATACATTTTATATAGAAAATATCGTTATCGGTAATATTTTCAATAGGAAATAAAGTTATCGGTAAAATTTTCTGTAGAAAATATCGTTATCAGTTATATATTCTATAGAAAATATAGTTATCGGCAATAATTTCTATCGAAAATATTTTTATCGGCAATATTTTTTATAGAAAATATCGTTATCTGTAATAATTTCTATATAAAATATTGTTATCGATAACATTATTATTGATAATATAGTCTATAGAAATATTGTCATCGATAACTTTTTCTATAAGAAATTATTCTTATCGATAATATTTTCTACAAAAAATATTATTATCGATAACATTTTCTACTGCAAAAATTTGTATCGACATTATTCTCTATAGAAAATATTGTTATCGACAACATTTAATGATATCGAATTTTTTATAAAAATATTATAAGTAATATTTTCTATAGAAAATGTTATTATCGACAATAGTTTTTATACACATTGTTATTATCGATTGTATTTTCTAGATACATTGTTGTTATCGATAACATTTTAAAAGGAAAATATTATTATCGATAGCGTTATTTATAGAAAATATCGTTACCGATCAACTTTTCTTTTCATAATGCCATAGAAAATGTTGTTATCGATATTATAAAAGATAATTTATATATTTTTATCGATAACATTATTTATACATATGTTAGTTATCGGAATTTTTTCTATAAAAACAGTCTCCCTAAACTTTTTAATATGAATTGTTACTATCAGTAAAATTTGTCGTAAAAATTGCCATTATCGATAAAATTTTCTACAAAAAAACTGTCTGTTATCGATAACATTTTCTGTGGAAATCAAGAAAACTCAAGATTTTTTTTCCTATTAAGGCCTTTAATTTACCACCCATTCATGTTTTTGATAACCAGGTCACCCTGGTCTATTTACAGACAAACACGGCTTGGATTCTTTACAAAAATTTAGTTAAAAAACGCGGAGTATATGCGAGCTTCTGTGTCTACGCTTTTTAAATACCTTACGCTTAACATTTGTTTCGTTCTACTCACCTGTGAGTCATTAAAATTAAAATCTCTTTCAGCATTTGAAATTACAGGATGCAGCACCAATAGCAGTACAAAACTGTATAGCACTAAAGGATGTGTTGTTGTTGTTATGTGGCACCAGCGTCGCGTTGTCCTTGATGGGGATGTTGACGACGACGATGCTGTTGATGAATGTGGCGATGTCGCTGACATCATTGTTTTTTGTGTTGTTGTCGATGCCATCATCGACAACTTCCTTGTCCTCGTCCTCGTTCTGCTGCTGCTGTTCTGGCTGCAGTTGCAGTTATGGCTGTGACAGTTGTTGTTGCCTATATCTGTGGCGTCGCTAAATGTCGTCGCTAAACGCGAATTTATTTTGGCCACCACCATCAAGAGATAGAGAAGACGATTTTTTGTGCAAAACTCTAAGCAACTAAATTTTTGTTCTTGTTGTTGTAAACTTGTCGTAAAATACTAAAAATAATTTGAATACTTTGTTGTTTTTGGTTTTGGTTGTCGTTGATATAAAAAATAGAAAAAGTGATTTCGAGTCGTAGAGGACTTAAAAAATTTGTGTTGCACTGATGGCTGAATAGTCACAAGACACCGAAAATATAAAAAAATAAAGACCAGGGTAGGCTAGCACTATAAAAATATGCGCGGTTGCTAATAAATTCCAAAAGTTACTTCATCTGTAAAGAGAGGGAGAAGAAGAAGAAGAAAACAAATAAATATTTTGTAAGACATTTTAAAAATCATAAACAAGTTAATTTAGCTGACATGGTAAAGAGTAATGAATACAAACAAATAAAAAATAAGCACAGCTTAAGCTAGAAGTTGTGGCAGAGTTTTGAATGCAACAAAATATTGCCACATTATAATCAGGATACAGTGGGACGATGTAGAATAATATGTGGATTTTTAAAAATATTTGTTCAATGACTTATATAAGTCGTGGATTTTTTTAAAATATTTTTTTTAAGAATATATAAGGCTTGGATTTTTTAAAAAATATATTTTTTCTAGACCTTACATAACGCGAGGATTTTTTACAAATAATTTTTCAAAAATTTATTATGCTCCACTGTATCACAAAAATAAATAAATTTCAATTTCCAAATCAGATTACTGATTTTCCCAAAAACAAAATATCCATAATTTTGACAAGTTAAGACATTTAACCAAGAAATTTAATAAAAAATCCCAACAAAAGCCCCAGAAATGTGTGTCATTGCATATAGCTGACGCCAGTTTCTTACCCAGCTACTCAATCATAAAATGCCAAATTAAAAAAAATATTTAAAATAAAATCGAAAATATGTCATTTAATTAGATTTTTAACGAAAGATAATATTACAAAAAAATAAGCGCTAGGCTTTTGCTGGTTTGTTTTAGGTTGGTGAGGTAGGGCTGACCTGATTTCCTCAATTTTCATTGGAAATTTGTGTGTTGTATCACCACCACCACTTAGCTTATCTTAAAAGAAAGTTGTTATGTTGTTGTTGTTGTGACGCTTGGTTTTCTATCTTGGCCCGGGTAACAACAGTAGTACAACTCTTTGTTTTTTACGCCAGAAAAAAAGAAAGAAAATGTGTCACAATTATTTTTATCTAAAACGTTAAAGGTAGATTTCATTGGCCATGTTTCACGGGTTTTGCTGTTATCAGTGGCGGTGGTGGTGGCAGTGACGATAGAAGCGGCTTCGACAGCAGCATAGTGTGTGTAATGTGCGTAACTCTTTTTCTTCCCTACTACTGATAACACGCAGTTTGAATGTGGGTCAATGTTCAAAATTATATCGAACCCAAAAAAAGAGGAATATCGATAAAAAATATTCCCCGTTCATTGAGGGTTTTTTTAAGAAGAAATATTAATAAAATATTTTTAAAAAATCCATGGAGGAAAAAATATTTTTAAACCAGTAAGGAAAGTGGTAAGGTCGGACTGGGCCGACTATATGATAGTCTACACCAATTTGGGTATATTCTACATATGTATCCTAACAGACGATGTGTTTTTGTTATATATCTATATCTGAACCGATTTCAGGGAAACTTGCCAGAGACTAATATATATTACTTCAGTACGTGATGTCAATCGCTCTAGCTATGGAGTTTTTCACGAAGCTTAGCAACATCATTCTAGACTTAATTCAGTACCCTATACCAAAATTCGTGCAAATCGAAAGATATATAAGGACTTTGGTGGACCAATTACATAAAATCGGACGAAAATATATATGGGAGCTATATCTAAATCTGAACCGATTTTCACGAAACTTAGCGCACATTATTATAGGCGCAATGCAGTACACTATGCCTAAATTCGTGCAAATCAAAAGATTTCCAGGGACTTAAATGGACTATTTATCTAAAATCGGGCGAAACTGTATATGGGAGCTATATCTAAATCTGAACCGATTTTCACGAAACTTCGCACACATCATTCTAGACTTAATTCAGTACGCTACGACAAATGTGGTGCAAATCGAATGATTTTCAGAGACCTTGATACACCAATTACATAAAATCGGACAACAATATATATGGGAGCTATATCTAAATCTGAACCGATTTTCACGAAACTTAACATACATCATTCTGCTATTAATTCAGTACGCTATGCATATTTTCGTGGAAATGGAGGATATATCAGGACTTTGGTGCACTATTTACCTTAAATCGGACGAAAATATATATGGGAGATATATGTAAATCTGAACCGATTTTCACGAAACTTAACACACACCATTGTAGACCTAATTCAGTACGCTATACCAAATTTCGTTCAAATTGTAAGATATAACGGTACTTTGATGTAACATTTACATTAAATCGGTCGAAAATATATATAATATATATATATATATATATATAATCTTGACCGGTTTTTACGAAACACACATCATTCCAGACCTAATTCAGTACACTATGTCAAAATTTCGTGCAAATCGAACGATATATATGGACTTTGGTGCACCATTTACATAAAATCGGACGAAAATATATATGAGAGCTATATCTAAATCTGAACCGATTTTTCCCAATTTCTGTAGGGTTCGTCCTTGGGCCAAATAAATGAGCTGTACCAAATTTCATCCAAATTGGATTATAAATGCGACCTGTACTTTGTTTACAATTTAACATCAACAGACGGAAGGACAGACGGACATGCATAAATCGACTCAGAAAGTGATTCTATGCATATTCTCAAAAGGAACCATAGGTTCATCTCGATTTCTTTTGTCTGTTACAAACATATGCACAAAGACATAATACCCTATACCAAAGTTGGCTGAAGGATATAAAAATCCACGGGGAGATATTTTTAAGAAATTCACACCTTATATTTTTTAAAAATCTTTGAAAAAAAAAAACCTGTCCTCCCTACCTGAGGAAACAAATCATTCCTCAGTTTTTAAGCGTTCGATGTTCCATTCCCCCCTCCACTTTTGTTTTGCCAAAAATCCCCCAAATTTGTTAATTGAAAAATTTTCTACCATCATTATGGAATCCCTCGACACGCACACACACATACTCAAAATAAATCCACCATGGCCTAAATTTGGAAAATTGAAACGGCTTTTTAATATTTAATGCATGTGAACACTTCTAGTTATGTCAAGTACACCCCCACCCCAACCACCATTAAAACAACTTTGAAATCCTTTCAAAATTACGTTTTTCACATGTACGTGTGTGTGAGTTTTTAAAACGTAAAATGATGGACATTTTCTGCGTAGTCATATATAAAAATACCCTGCTTTTGTCTAACAACTCATTCATCCGGTCGTTTTAATTCAGACAAACCAACCATTCATCCATGATGGTCGACTGGCTTTGCACGTGTCCCAATGTTGACCAGCCAGTAAAGCCTGCCTGTCAAAAATATAACCTCACATCCATCCAAAGCAGCTGGTTTTGTTTTTAGGTTTTATGCTAAAACATTCGTGTTATGACCCTGTTTTTTTGGACTACTTCCCGGCCAGCAAAAGGGATGATGACGATGATGATCTCGCTTCATGGTCATTCACAGAAGAGTTGTTTATAATTGTTTACATAGAGACGCGCGTGCACGCTTCTTCGTTTACGAATGAGTAGGAGATGGAGATAATAAACTTCTATGGCCCGTACGAAGGGATGGACGGACGGACGGATGTAAACACTCTAATTCCGGGTCATTGGTCAGTTGTTGTCCATCAAACGCAAATACTTATTCGCTTCAATGCAAACGGTGAAAAAACAAAACAAACAACAGAATTGTTATTCAGCTGGTGCTGTTGCTGGAGCTGTGCTACCTAAAATAAACTCCCTAATGTAGGTCATCATCATCATCATTCGCATCGACGTCGTCAGTTTCAGCATGTGTATGTAGTAAATATGTACATAGTTGGCAGAATGTGGCAACAGCGGGTGGTATTCTTTGTGTATTGTGTGGTCGCTTGCGGCACATTTGCATGATGCCCTTGTTGCTTGGATTGCCTGTCCGTCCGTCTGTCTGTCATCTATTCCAACAAATGCTGCACAATTTGAATTTGAAATATATTTCAATTTCACACATTGTACCCTGCCCAGCTTATATTTGTTTGTGGTTCATTGAAACTGTCCATTCCGTATGAATTGATTATTGACAACAACAACAACAAGGCATTAAGAATATTTCCAATATTTCCAAATAAGAAAGCTGTCGATTTATCAAAATATTCGATATATTTTGAGTAGGGATTAAATATTAGGCAACATTTGTTAGCACTGTATTTGTCAGTGGTCGGGGGTCAGAAACTTAATCAGTAAGCTGTCGTAATATTTATAGTGAGTGTGTGTATGATTTCAATGAAATATGATGAGTATGACTAGTTAGGGTCTTAGAGGTTCGAGACTAAGCAAATTGAAAACAAATCCATAATTTATTATACCCTATAAAACTATGTTGTCAGGGTATTTCAGCATTGTGCAGCCCCAATAGTTTGTAACGCCGGGAAATATTGGTCCTAGGCCCACCTTTAAGTATACCGATCGTCATATCTCGACTAGCTGAGTCCATCTAGACATGTGTGTCCGTCCGTCTGTCCATTATAATTTGTAAACACGATACAGGGCACAGTTATGGACCAATCTTCACGAAATTTTGCATGTAGGATGGGTTCTGGCCAATGAAGACCCCTATTGTTTTCGGCTAATATTTAGGGGACGAAATGGACCAAAAACTTTATTTTTGTATGATTTTCTGGTCGCTCCAGAGGCCACAATTATGACCAAAACATTGTGATTTTTTACATGGAGAAGGAGATCGGGCCAGGAATAAGCATGCCTGTTTCGATAAACATCGATCAATATTTAGCGGGTAAAATGGACCCTGACTTTTGTGTGACAAATTACAAAAT